GAAGCGTTTGCTCTTTCCTCTCATCCAACACTTGCCAGGCTGCATCTGGAATACTGAGTCCAGCCGGGCTCCCCAGTGCAAGGAGGACACTGAATGCTGTGAAGGGCCGCTGGGATGGTTGGGGTCGGGGTACAGGAGATGCGAGAGAAGGGTGCAGGAGCTGGGTTTGTTCAGCCCGGAGAAGAAAGCAAAGGAGGCCTCTCACCGTGGTCTCCAGCTACCTAGTCGGTGCTTATAGAGAGGATGTAGTGAGACACTTCCTGCGGTGCACAATGCAAGGACAAGAGATGACAGCCAGAAGTTGCAGCAAGAGGAATTCCAGATGGACAGAAACTCCCTTTTTTTTTCCTCCCACAGTGGGAGTGATTCAGCACTGGAACAGGGGGCCAGGGAGGCTGTGGAATCTCTGTCCTCAGAGATACTCAACGTTCAGCCAAACAAGGCCCAGGGCAACCTGATCTAACACCAAGGCAGGTTGGAGCAGAGACCTCCAGAGGTCCTTTCCTTCCTAAAACATCCTATGGTTCTATGACCTCTTTCCTGTGTTTTTTAGCAGAAGTTATTATTGTCCGTTCTGTATAAAATAGACCATTATTGTCCTCTAACCAATGGCTTTTTACAACAAAGGACGTGGCAGGTGATGTACTACTATCTGGGTGGATGTCCTGCAGCAAAAGACTTGTGGATTCAGAGGAGGATGGTGCAGATGGGGAACTGGGAAACTAGGGAATTAGCAACTAGGCATAGGAGCTTGGTGCTCAGATCTGCTGGATTTTAGTAGAGCAATCAGAAGAAAATCCTATTGCTGACATGCATCTAAGCCCTGAAATACTGACGTGCTCCATAATTATGCCCATATAGGGTACCATCATCCAGCACAGACAAGCTGCTGTCTGGGAAGAGGAAAACCAGATTGGTTTCTGCAGAAGTAGCACCAACAAATGATGTGCTAAACTAGCATTAGTACTTACTCCTCTTTGTGATCATGGTAGTAGCTGATGTCTCGAGTCCCAAGGATTGTCCGCTTCACAAACACTGACAGGGCACTCCAGCTAATCAATATAATGGCCATCTCCAGGAGATTCCACTTGCTGTGGAAGTATCTCCATCTCAGAGTCCTCATCAATTTTCCCTGTCAAAAGAGGAATTTTACTGTTTTAGTCTTGTGACTCTGTATCATACAATACCCCTCTAGTGATCAGGGCTATCCCCCTGCAATAAAGCAGGCTGCTGCACTTCCATAAAACTACATCTTGCACTAATTTCTCATTATCTTTCTCTAAAGAAACATTCCAGCCAAATAAAAAGTTGCCTTCCTATGATTTCATGCAGTATCTGATTCAGTCTTCCATTGGTGCAAGGCAGCAGCACTACTGAGATGCAGTACAGCCCTGAAGTTCTTTTAAGTGGAATGAAAACCAGACACAAGGTGATGCTTTCAGCCGAGCTTTCCTCTGGGTCTCACCTGTACTGTCATGTAGTACACGATGAAGAGGAAATAAATGACTTCTGCTGCAACCACAAAGATGTGGAGACTGTTGGTGTACGGGTAAAGCCGGACACTTTGCAGCTCTGCACTTGTGAAGAAGGCCCCTAAAAATCAAACAATGTTCACCTCAGTGCTGTAATAATGGCATCTTTCTGTTTCCATATAAACAATTCAGTTCACCAGGAAGATTTCCGTACTCGCGTTCACATCAACGTGAGACTGAATGCCACTATCAGTCTCAGATTTAGGCTTGATTATGTGAGTAGCCTTATAAGTGTTCTTTAAAATTTTCCTCAAATAGGAATTATAGGCAGTCAATGACTTTTAGAGTGCTAGTGCTCTCTTGTGTGATTGTGTGGTATTAATCCCCATGGGGCTGAGTTTGGATTGGACTACAACTGCAGAAAGGCAGCAGGAGGACCTGGAGATGTAAATCTGAATCTCATTCTACAAAGCAAAGGAGCTCAGATTTGTGGTCTGGTTTGGGCCTTTTCCAATACTGGGACAGACTTGAGGGAGGCTACTGCCCAGATTAAATGTTTTTCTACAGCCTTCGAACCAGAATCTAGTTTCACTGTTTCTTTGTTGTCTTTAGATGAGGTATTGCATGATTACGTGGCTATATATTAGTCGTCTTCTGGAACAAAAAAGGCAGAGTCTGTCCTTTTTGTCTTGCTGGTGTATTGATTAGCTGGAATTATTAGGAAACATAATTTTTCTTCTCCCTGTTGTGTAAATTCTGGAGATTAAGTTTTAGTATCATGTTTTCCTCCTCATCAGATGACCATAAGCAAGCATAAGATATTCCGCTATGGTCTGTATGACTGTGGTGCTACATTGTTCCTAAATGGTTTGTAAATTTTGCATTGATTCTGTTATTATTCGAGTTACTAAAACACTTTACTGAAGAAAGAACTAGGTAACCACTGACAGCACGTCAGTCTGCACTCTGTAGGGGCATTGCTTGCTGTCTTCAAAAAGGCATAACCTGAAAATGGTTCTCACCTAAAGCATTGGTTTCAAACATCAGGCTTATAATGCAGAACAGGTTCACGTTGGCATTGTAGACTGTAAATTCAACAAACACTGCTCTCGTGAAGGTGTCTAGCCAGACGTTGTTGAAAAGGTACTGGAGAATTCTGCCAAAAGATGTATACAGCCAGTGGGCTAACTCATACAGGAGAGACAGCATCATATGTAGGATAGGAGTGTTTGGATATTGTCATAGAGAAAGAATAAATGGGAGGTAAGATGCTCAAGAGGATGCCTGGTCTGTCAAGTTCGGAGATAGGGGCTATTTGTATTATTGGGTGGTCAAGGCCTCATTTTCTATTATTTCACTTTAAAAAGTATTCCGTTACTATTCATATTCACACACAGGAGGTTACTTTCAGTGCATTTTCACTAATTCTTCTCTATTAAGGTAGATACGAAATTGTCTTCAAGGATCTAGGGAGCATAAACACTAATGAGAGATAAAGAAGCTTCACAGATATTGCTGTGCTGTGAAAACAGGAAAATATATCTTAGTTCAATCATAGTAACAAGAACGTAAGAGTAACATAAGATGTAGGCTGAAATATCTTCTCACAGCTTTTGACATCCTCTGCTACAATTATGGCACCAGAGTAATATCTACAATATCCAGCTCAAGGCACAGCTGGAAAACTGGGGATGCAATTGGAAATTACTCTTAAATAGGGTAGAAAAAAACACTGACGCTAGATAGGCTAATAATTTACCAGAATAGGAGTGGTACCTGGAGGCATTCCTAGGATCAGTTCCCAGGTGAATCACGTATCCCCCTCCCCTGTAGATGGCCAGTTTGCCCCAGACGGGATGCCCTCTCAGTTTGGCCTGACTCCGATACTGCCATGCTGAGCTCAAGTCAGAGGAGTTGTCAAAGACCGAAGTATTCCAGTGAGATAGGCTAATAATTTACCAGAATAGGAGTGGTACCTGGAGGCATTCCTAGGATCAGTTCCCAGGTGAATCACGTATCCCCCTCCCCTGTAGATGGCCAGTTTGCCCCAGACGGGATGCCCTCTCAGTTTGGCCTGACTCCGATACTGCCATGCTGAGCTCAAGTCAGAGGAGTTGTCAAAGACCGAAGTATTCCAGTGTTCCCCGTAATCTGCTGTATCTTCTGTTTGTATGGAATATGGAGCGTGGCATAAAACGCTGGAGTTTGGGGGAAATAGGGCAGGTGTCTCCTTTCACTCTTACTTGGCGAATTCGAGCACTACCCACCAGCTTGGAATTGCCATCTGTAATGAATCCTGAAGGGGAGATGGAAAAGAGCAGCACTGGCAATATGACAGAACTACTACTACTATTTCCTCATCTCATTTCTGACTCACTGATGCATTAATATTTGCTGAAGATTCTTTTCTAAAAACACCGTAAGCAAAATAGTAATGAAAATGACTCCCTGGTGTTGAAGAACGTCCATAGATAACCAAGTTCAGTATCATTACCCACCCGTATCTTATACAGAAGGAAACTGAGACCTGGAGGAGAAAAGTGACTTGCTTCGAGTCACACCGCAGCGTAGCTGTATGCTGCGTTCACTTGGCCGCAGTTGCTCAGTGCCTGTCACGTCCAATGAACAGCTCTGCTAATGCATTTCAATATTTACTCTTAAATGTGAGCTGGAAAATGGGTCATATTTATCACTGGATACGGCTAGATAGAAACGCGGTGATACTGCATAATTGCTCTTCCCAGCTTCCCATGGTGCAGGCGGAGCTGTCCCGAGGAAAAGCTTTATAGTGCCACCTCTCTGCCATCCTTATTTTGAACCATGGGAAGAAACTCGTGTAAAACTGAGGCATATATCTGAATATCTGGAATAAGTCATGTAGAATGTGAAAAGTGTAAAATTACAGTGCAGAACTTTTGGTTTATATTAAAGGTAAGGAAAATCAGTGCACGTTAAACTTGGGGTCAGGCTGTGGGGTTTTTGTTACCCACTAGTATTCATACGATAAGAAACCACACCAGTCTTAGGGACTCACAGTCTCTTTCTCCAGTCAAATATGGCTTTAAATTGAAAGTGGGTAGATTTAGATTAGATATAAGGGAAAAAATTCTTCCCGGAGAGGGTGGGGAGACACTGGGACAGGTTGCTCAGAGAAGCTGTGGATGCCCCATCCCTGGGAGTGTCCAAGGCCAGGCTGGATGAGGCTTGGAGCAACCTGGTCTAGTGCAAGGTGTCCCTGCCCATGGCAGGGGGGTTGGAACTGGATGATCTTTAAGGTCCCTTCCCACCCAAACCATTCTGTGATTCTATGAAATACGTGTGTGCAATTTTTGGAGATGTATTAAAAATAATATTTCAGAATCTGACAAGCTGAAGTGAAACGTGACTCTGCACCTTTATATGATCCATAAAGATTTTTGATTAAGGTAGTGTTTGCCCATGTGAAAAAATCCAGGTAACTGTAGACATCGTGGAATCCATTGGTAAAGCTGTTCTCAATGTGCTTGTTGAAGTAGTACGAATTGGGATCTCTCTGCCCATAGGCAACCAGTAAGAGCATCCATAAAAACCCCACATAGGCTGGAAAAAAAACAAGAGAAAGCACATGTGAGCTCAGAATGAACACTGCTGTTCAAAATAAATGCATGAATGATTACTGCTGTCGTCACTTATTAGGTTAAGGAGATGCTTTGCTAGACTGACTGACCAGTGCTAATGAATTCGCACGAGCTACTTCAACGTGCTGCAGTTTAAGCATGTCACATCTGGAATACGAGTAGCGGTCCAGAAAATATGTGGGAAGGCTGACTGAACAGCAATAGCGATGACGGCTCCAAATCAAATGAGCAGTCTAATTCTGTTCCAAGTGAAAGTGAGGTAATTTTTTCCATTGATTTTAGGGGAAATATAACTGGGGTGTAAATCAGTATCTATAGATAATCTCTGCTTTTAGAAAGATGGTCTCCAAAGGTGGCCTCTCTCTGCTCTTCTGATTTCAACTTTCATTTAACTGTTGACCTCCTCCTTTTACCCTTTCTAACTTTTCATTAACCTCTTACGTGTCCGTACAGTGTTTCTTTACCATAAAATCAAGCCTCTAGCCACACATCTCCAGCCACCATTCCCACCTCCTTTCAACTCCAACTACCCCTGCACAGCCCGTCTCTACACCGTAACGGCTGGCAGAAAGCTACAGATATGCCAAAACTTTTTCACCCAAGAGAACAATATTTTCACTGGTGTAAAAATACTGATGACTACTACTGAATAAACCGAGATAATCTACATATAGATAATACCCAGGATTTCTCTGATGAGGGCAAATGCTTTCTGCTCCTTCATACAGCTGATTTTCATTTTTTCCACATCAGCTGCGGGAGGTGGCCGGTAAATATTGCTTATACTGTCCCTTCGGGCTCCAAAGAGAGGGTTTGAATCACCTGCGAGTGAGAGCAGTAGACCCTGGAATTAGTCAACACATCGTCTATGTCTTGCTGTCTGTTTCTTTGGACATTAACAGGAAACATTTCTATTTAATGATTTCCCTTAGGAAGACAGGGATCTTAACAATCGCTACAGCTTGGCAAACAGCGGGGAGGGAAGGAGCTCACACCGTGTTAGGTTAGTCCAGGTGTCTCTCTAGGCTGAGCATCTCAGAAGGTGGTGTGTTCAGAGCTGGAGACTGATTGGGGGGAGGCTGTTGATCAGGATTCTGTGCTGTGCCCTAGGACTCCTGTCTGCTGCTCTCAGCGTTTTAGACATGACTGTGATTGCAGAAGCCACTGTTTGGTTTACAGGAGTAACACAGATAATTGTGGTTGTGGAAAACTGTTTATACTGAGGACTTCCATATCGTAAGACTTAATGGTGTTAAGAGAGAGAACCTGAGTTTTAGATATGCTTGTCAGACGAAGGTCTACCATTCTAGATGAAGAGTGCCTTTTGCACTGGGTCACGTGTTTATTTTCACTAGGTGGTTTGTTGCAAGCCATGCCATGAATACTGAGATGTCTGCACAGAGCTAAAACAAGCCTCCTTGTACCTCTGATTTTTCTTATGTCTGATGTGAGAGCTAGAATATTTAAGCATGGTTACTGCATACTAACAGCCGTGATGTGTTAATTTTTATTATAATGGCTTCAGTCAGTTTGCCACATTTTATTATTTTCATTTCTAGATGTTCCTTTCGTGTTGACAGACTGAAAAGTGATTGACTATCCACTTGCACAATTCTTGATCTAGTATGAATCAATATAGGAGAATGCTTCTTTTTTTCCTGACATAGGCAAGTCAGGGATGGAGGGAAGGAAGGACTTAGATATCAGTATCCTGTCAGCAATAGATCCTCCAATAATAGGAGCGGTGTTAGAACAGGGCCAGGGGAGATTGTGCACGTTTGTATTTGGAGAGGTGAAAACATACAGAAAAAGATAAACAAGGAAGTATTGTTCTTTTGATATAGACTTCTTTTATCTTTTGGATCTTGTGGCCTCTTTTATTAAGAGTTCTGCAAGATTTATGCAACCTAAACATACAGGGGTCTTTATATTTTCTCCAACTGGCACAAAATCAGTTATTTAGGTTTGTTTCCATTTCCACCTTGATCTTTCGAATCCAAATGGGTGGCGCATAGTACAGCACCTGTGGACATAGTGATTTCTGCTAAACTTGTCAGCTAAGATTCAGGTATATAAAGATAAGCAGTGGAGTTCTCAGCTGAGCTGAGTCACATATTGTGCATAAAGCACTCCAAAGTTGGAGAACAATTCACTTTCTTTAATAATTTCTCACTTTACAGTTACCTGGTGTAGATAAAGGCCCAACAATAGCTGTATTTTCTTCATCCTCATGTTCCACCTTCTTCAGAACCAGAGCAAAAAAGGCAGCAAATCCCAGCACCTGGAAAGAATTAACTATAGACTCACCATATGCTCATTTCATGTAAGGATGCTCAGGCTGTCAGGGACTGCAGGAGAACAACTGTGCTTTGGTTTTGTTGAACTCTTGCAGCTGATGCTTTTGTTTTAAGGGAAAAGACTTCTAATTTTATATGTTAAATCCTGTGGTTCTTTAGAACACAATACATATTCTTCCTGACATGCTAGTAGAAAGAGTTCATGTTGTCCACTGGTTGTATTTCTGAGGCCTCACCTTTAAGGGCTGTGTGATGAAAAGACTTTCCAAGAAGGAGATGGCCATGGAGATTAGCCACTTGATGGAGTTCTCCTTGCCATAATGCAGCCCGTAGAGCATGGTAAAGAACCCAGACACGCCACTGGTGACTGCAACAAGGAACCAAGCGATGAACACAAACCACCAGGGCAGCCCTTTGGGAGAACTTTTCTTGCCATCACCGGAGAAGCTTGGAGTAGGGCACCACCTTGAGAGTCAACCGGAAGAGAAAAAATCAGTCAGCAGTGGAACAGAAGCCAAAATCACAGTCTTTGGGTTCAGTGGGGATAAGCAACATCCTGTGATTTAAAATCTCAATTGAAATATTCTAAATTTTTTTAACTAGTGGGGTTGTGTAGGATATATGGATCGCAGAAAGTACAGTGAGCAAAAAATACGAGGAAATGTACAGAGGTCATCTAAAATGAAAACAAACATGATGGGCTTATTTACTCCTCAGTTCATGCACAATTGAACCTTCAGCAGAAATACTGACAAATAAAACCATGAGTGCATTTTAGTTGCTGGAAACATCTCATGATCACCAGAGAGATAATTAGTGCTATTGTTTTCAATGCTTCCAACTTAATTATCATATTTCACTGAAATATTTCTGTCTGCTTATTAATTTTTCTTTATCCATACATTTTAAGAGACACCTGAGGCTTGGGAGCTCGGTGATTATCCCAGCCCTCTCCTATCACGTGTCATTCTACTGTAACATTCCATTTTGGAGGCAAAAATGACAAAGGGCAATGATCTGTTATTATTGCTTTTGTGTGCAGTTAGCAGTGCGCTGAAATTTCTTTGTTGCTCCTACAATAGCATAATAGTAAAACATGTTTCTACAGTGATAATAATGATTATCTAGCACATATTAAGTAGTAATTATTTACGTTCTGTCATCCTGACGGGTTTTGAATTCATGACCTGAATTTACTTATAATGAGAACAAGATGAGAACTAGGTTACCTCTCACTGATGGATGCTGATGAGCAGATCTGGCTCTCCAGGAGGTTCTTCATGTGCTGAACCTGATGAACAGCTTGTGTGTAACTCTGAGGCATCTGAAATTTATTGGGCCCCAGTAATTCCAGCTCCATCTCTACTTGCTGGAGTTGCAGGTACAAGCAGCGATTGTAATCACTGTGTTTCAGTCTCTCACACGCTCCCTTCTCTGGAGTTGGGCTTCTTGATTTTTCTGCAGGTAAAGAATTACTTAATATTTTTTAAAGGAAATGAGCACAGCTATCCCTAGATTAAAATACTGCTCATTACAAAGGTTAGAATCAGAGCTGAAGATTATGCATGTGACAAAGTGAAGAATAACATTGGAAAGGACATGTAAAAGCAACTTTAGTACTAGAGCTTTAATGCCTTTCTGCTGGAATGGGCTGAAACTGTTGCCAGGAGGCAACAGAAGTCAGATAAGATCAAGTGCTAATTTGTTAATAGATTACCTGTGCCATTAATAACTTGGTACACTCATTGGAAAAGCCAAATGCAAATCTTAATAAAATCAGTGGAATTGTTTACTCATATATTATTGTTTAATTGAAAATAAATGAATGCCTGAGTTGAATCAGACTGAAAGGAACAACGGCACAAGGCCAAGAACTAAAAAAGGACAGGACAAAAAGACTGAAACAACTGCTATCTGTGAGTCTTTATGCTGTTAGATACTGATCCTGCTCCCAGTGAAGGCTGGTAGCTAACATTTAATTCTACAGCACAAGAAATAGAAATTTCACAGTGTCTTTACTCAGCTGGGTGCTCAGTGGTGCATAGAGAAAGAACAAGAGGCAGTGAGCACATATCAAAACATGGGAAATTCTGTCTGAAGAGAGGAAAAACTTCTGTATTGTGAGGGCAGTTGGACCGTGGAATAGGTTGCTCGAGAATTTGTGGGGTCTCCATTCTTGGAATTATGGACATGATCCTGGGCAACCTGCTCCAGCTGACCCTGCTCTGAGCAGGGTGGTGGACTAGGCAATCTCCAGAGATCCCTTCCAACCTCAACTATTCTTTAGTTCTGTAATTGCCTTTGAGTCAGAGTGTAAGAAGAGCTTGGGTCATCACGTCCAGCTTCACCATCATTTTCACTACCAAGATTTCAGTAGGCATGTCACATTGTGTTGTTTACCTTGCATATCCATAGCCCCTAATGTGACAATTATAGGGTCATCCTTCTTTCTTGTCTCATCATAAAACTCTTGCCCAGCTCTGTTCTGCTGGCAGATGATGTCCTCAACCAATGCCAAAAGTGTGTTGATGTTAGATGATTTTCCAAGATCTGATACTGAAGTGAGAGATGGAGTCTTCAGGGCCTTAAAGAGTGAGTTGGCAATTCTTCTTATATCCTAGAAAAGACAGCAGCAACACAGCAGTGACTCTGGCTGCAGTGACTTAAGCTGATGTGATCTGAAGGCATCACTGGCTGGGAGCTGCACCAATCACTAAAATCTCCAGAATGGGCAAGGATAGCATATCCTACAGTGCTGGATGAGACAGGCAGCTTTCAGTGAGGTCAGCAAGACAGCTTTCAGGATCCAAAAATAGAGCTTACCTGCCTGAGGACCTAAACTGAGAAGAACAGGGTCTGTGACAACTTTTATTTCCACTGTCTTGCTTAATGTTTGCTTTAAGCCCTGCACACAGAGGTTTTGGTCACACATAATAATTGTGCATGGGCTGGGGTGTACATTGGCACATCTTAATGCAGATTCCATGTAGGTGGGTAACGGAGTGCTTTGCACCACTGCGTGATTGGCTCTTCTCTCCGGAGAAGCTGAAGGGCATGTGACAGGGAAGATCGCTGCTGTTACGCGGGGAGGTTGGGTAGCGTAGGGCAGTGCAGGACTCGCCGGGGAGCAGCCCCAAGGACTTGCCTTTATGACAGCCTCTGGAGTCAGTGAGACAGCCTGGGGGGCCTGGGGGGTGGGAGGCAGGCTTGGGGACACTCGACCATTCTTTCCCAGCTTCTTCTCTCTCCTCTGTGTGGCTGGTCGGGGTCGTATGTTCCTGAAGATCTGCACAATGAGCAGGTTGATGGGGAACATGAGGAGAGAGCTCTCAACGCCGATCATCAGTTCCTGCCATGTGAACTCGATCTTACCTGTCAGGATCAGAGGGGAGAAGTGAAATAGCCCCAGGAACCACCAGATCTCTCTGTTGTGTAAAAGCCCGTTTGTTCAACTGTCCTGCTTCTAGATTCTGCTATCTATCTATTTCCCTGCACAAGCAATGGTGAGGATTGTTACCCAAATCCATTTTCTGCTCAGCTGGATCCTTTGGTACTCCCCAGAACATGATGCTGGTCAGCATGGTGCAGAGAAGCAGTGAGAAGCAACATGACACGCGCTGGGCTCGTGTGAAGGAGCTTCGTGGAGGGCGGCTAAAAACTGAGTACCAGATGTGTCCATCCTGGAAACCCTTGGAGGTCTTCATGAAAAAGAGGTTGCTGGGAGAGAGGAGAGGGAAATCAAATGGATTCTTAGAAAGGAGAGGGAAGAATAAAGCTGTAGTTCAGGGTTCTGACCTCTTCATACTTCTAGGGACTATCAGAAGAAATAATAACTATGAGAAATTGCCAAAGATCATGGCTTGATTCACGTGGAAGGGTCATAGCTACTTATGTCCTTTCCTTCTGGCCGCACCATGGAGGCAAAACTAATAATGAGCAGCTTCTAAATAAATTGTTAGGGAAATTAGACATGGGGGAAGAGAAGATGCTTGGGTTTCTGTAGATCTTTTCAGGCTAGCCTCTTTAACACCAGTAATTCCAGTGTGGTATTACTGTTAGGGTAAGAATTAGACTGCCAACCATCCTTCCCCTTTTCCTTGTTCAGAGCCCTTTGAGGGCAATGGAAAGACCTCCCTTGTTGTCATTTTTTGTCTAGGGGTTTGATCTTTTTTGTATACTTGCTTTTCTAGACTGACCGCGATCAAGAGCAAAAATGTCCATAAACCAATATGTACCTGAACTTCTTCATGTCCTGTTCTGTTGCTACTGGGAACACTTTATCTAGGACACATTCTCCAATATCAATGGCTAGCCAAGAGTTACAGAGAAAGTACCATTTCTGATCCCATGCCAGGTCATGGACCAACACTCGATTCACATACCTGTCAGAAAAACATACAGGGCACATTCACATGGAACTGAGTGGTAATCGAATTCACAACTCGACGGGACTATGAAGGACAAACTCTGACCTTCAGCTTCTTAGCTTGTGTCTAAACTGTAAGTCAGAGAACACATCCCATCTGTACTGGACACAGAATACTGGAAGCACTCCTGGTCCTGCAGTTTAGATTGTGATTTGAGCTATTCATCTGCAAAAATGAGAAACTAACCTTTCCTTTCTAGAACTGCTGACAGGAAGATTTTCAAGTGCTAGAAAGGGAAAACTGTTATCATTATAAAAAATATCTGTAGATCTTTATTTCCCAGGATCTCCAGAGCTCCACTTACCAGGATGGACTGTCCCCTGAATTATCATGCCACAATCTAATACTCTGCAGTTCCCCAAGAGGGAAGAAGGTACAGAGTAGGAAAACATCCACTCCTCCCCGTTCAAAGACTGGTGTATCAGGATCAGTTAGGTGGTGGGGCTCACTCTCTCCTTCCAGTCCATAGAGGGTAAGAGTCACCTGGAGAATAAAATGGCAAAATGAAGACTTACACATCTTGATCCTATGTATGATTATTCCTCTGGCATAGTCTTTCTTCTTTAATCAAATCTAAGAACTTTCTGGCTTAGACGTGCATTTGAGCTGTCCTGTTTAATAGTCTCAGGGCTCCGTAATTCATCCAGTCTCTAAACGAGCGCATAAACCGTCTTACTGCACAGTGCCATTGATACCTTGGCGGTTGTGGCTGCTCCCCGGCGGTGCCCTGTAAAAACTGTCACAAGATAACGATACTGAGCAAAGGGGTCGTTGTCTTCCAGGACTGTAATTTTCACCTGCAGTGACACAATACAAGCAGTGTGTTAGCTGTTCTGTAAGTATGATTCTCTAAAGCCTGTGGATAGGATTTTGTCAGCTCGTGAACAATGCATATACTTACCAGTAAACAGAGTTACAGGGAAGGGAGTAGGATAGGTTGAAGACTTCCTATTAAAACAGGCTAGGCAAAGTGGGAATTCTCCTTAATACATTCAGTTTTTATTATTTTAACACTTACTTTGGCATCATCCTGGATGTCTTTCCTTCGGGCCCAAATAACTACAAGCAAATATATCAGAAAGACACATCCTACAGTTGTCACCACCACAGGGTTGTCCACGAATGTACCAAATAGCTGTGCAGTTTGGCTAACATCTATGGCATTGGGTATGACGAAAAAGGAGCTCCCAAAGAAGGTCAGATGGTTGCAGAGGCACTGTGTGCTTCTAGGATTTGTTTTTGGTCCTACCTGAAAATCGGAAAAAAATTCTAGTAAAACCTTTGCCTTCAAAGTATTAGATACTTTACCCTGCAAGTGAAAAGACAGTGCTGAGACTGGTAAGGCAGTGTGGAGAGCTGCTGTACAGAAAAGAATTGTTCAGGTTCCAATACGGAATATTAATTCTAATGTCTAGCCAGAAACAGGCCTTACAATGTAATACAGCCTTGTCAGAGTGCTTCCATTTCTTCTTATATAGAAGCCCATCCCAAGAAACAGAAATGTCCTTTGAAGCTTTGTGCAGTATAACTGGACTTGAGTTTGTTAAAACATCTCAGGATGAACTTGGTTTATGGTATGGGTTCACTGCTATCATTTTACTACAAAGTGGTAGTTATAAGGGCTGGCTTTGAAGTACATAATATTGTTTTATTTCTCTGTACTTACATGGCATCCATAGCTGTTCCAGTTCCCCTGGTGCTCATCCCAGAATACACAGCTGGATGCGAAGCAAGTGACAGCTATAGGCAGCCTGTCATAAACCGTGGAATCCTTTTCCATGTCTTGTAAAACCATGAAATAGTAGGTTCCCTCTCCAAACGTGAGTTCTTCTGGGCTAAGAACCCACGTGTTTGTTTCATCTTGAACATAAATATTTTAGTTTCAATGTACGTAGAAATGCTAATTCAGAACTATGCAGCACATCATAATCAAATAAACAAACGGCAGAAACAGGTATGCAATCACAGATTCACAATCGCAGAGTGGAAGGGGTTGGAAGGGACCTCTAGAGACCATCTAGTCCAACCCCCCTGCTGGAGCAGGATTCCCTAGAGGGGATCACGCAGGAACAAGTCCAGGGGCTTTGGAAAGTCTCCAGGGAAGGAGACTCCCCCCCTCTCTGGGCAGCCTGTTCAGGGCTCTGTCACCCTCACAGGGAGGAAGGGTTTCCTCATGTTCAGGCTGACCTTCTGTTCAACCTTAGCAACTCAGTCATTCTTAGCAAGTCATTGTTCAAAGCATCCC